CACAAGCAGTTTTGTTCTATTTGGAACTCCCCAGGTCTACGTAGCCCCAATGCCAAATCTTACTCTGAACATCAAACCCTCTAACAGGAATTGAACTCATGAATCCTGGCACTTTAGGTGACTCTATAGAATACATTCGCTTTAAGAGGTCCTGGTGCTCTGCACTGTTGCTGGAAGGGAGAGAGTTTCTCTTTAGAAAGGGAAGCTGTGGCGACCCACATCATCTCTCACCTGCTGGCTATACCGATTGAGATCTGGAAGTTACAATTTAGCAGCTGAACAGCTTTGGGTTCCCCAGGCCTGTGAGATTGTAGAAAGAGAGCTGTGTCAGTCTATGATAGCCCCAAACTATAAGGAGTCTAGTAGCACCTTTTCAGACTAACATTTTTTAAAGCTTTCATGAGCTTCAATGCCTGTGAGTATGGTACTAAAATTAAGCTATTCCAGGTGTTGTCAGAAGTTGACTAGAAGACCATTGGGCAGCCTCCACACATTTCTCCTTGAAACCATGGAAGGAAGGTGATATTTAAAAACGAAATAAGCACAAATTTGCTTGAAAGGCAGGCAGCATATACACCCTGGCTTCTGACATTCTCCTTGGCAATATGGTGCAGCTGTTGAGGTACCTCTGAGGTCAGTCTCTGCCTGAGACATAGATTTGTCTCCCCAAACCACCCAAACATTTATCCAGTCCAGCACAGAACAGACTGATTTGCAGCCAGATGTTCATCAAAGCCTCAGCTGGTGAGATCAGAAGGTTTGTGACGTTGGAACCAGGAGCTTTCAAAATAAGAGTTTGCTGGGTAGGCAAAAGCGTCAATCTCTTGCAAAAGAGCAAAGGGGGTGGTGTGGATCTGGCAAATGCACACCCAGCTAAAGATCAAGCAAACCTCCTTAGTGAATGAGAAAACCAAGCTGACCCTTGTTCTGCTTCTAAACTATCTTCTCTTCTAAACAGGCTGATGTAACTCTTCCTAAACTCTGTTCTGAGCTGACATAAAAAATGAAAGAACAAAAGCTCATGAGTATAGTTAACCTTTTCACAGCAAGGCAGTGCTATAATGTAAAAGGGAAAAAAAACACCAACTTGGGCTAAACATCAAGTTGGCAGTCTAAATGCTCTCAGTACCTATAACTGAAGGTAGCATGGGCTTTAGCCTCCTCAGACATATACAGATGGAGAAAGTATCTCAAATCCAAATCTCAGCATCATGAGGATCTCTGTTTCCAAAATACATACAGAGCTGAGCACTTTTTATATTAAATCATAGCACTGGAAACAATTTAGGCCATACAGTTCAACCCCCTTTTCAGTGCAGGAATCCAAATTCAAGCATCTCAGATAGATAGCTATATAACCTCTGCTTAAACACATCCTATAAAGGGACACCCACCATCACTCTCAGTTGGTTCCATTAGCAGAACCTTTTCCCTCGTCAGGAAAACAATTCAAGGATATTTCTTCTGAAATAGATCTAGATACATAAACCATTAGCTTGGTTATTATGAGAAGCATGTAGAAGACTGGAGTAATCCAGATTGAAGTCATGGAGTAATCCAACCAAAACAGGATTGTTATGGTAGGGAAACGTTGGAAGGGTGATCCTCTGAACTCCTGGAGGAAGGGCAGGATATAAATCTAGTGAAAAATATTATTGCTTGCTCCATAGTGAGAGTTATGAATGCCAACCTGGTCTATAGCAGAAGCAGATGGGAGATATAGTGCATGGGGTATCTTGCGCATGTAGCCATTCCTGACACCCCTTCTTTTCATCCTGAAATCTGATTCTTTCTCTCACATTCATCAGAGAACCCAAAAGAGAAGGAAAGTTGAATTTCCAGCCTTTGCAGAGGTTCATAATGAGGTCCTGAAGCAACTCAGATTAAAATTTATGAACTAGTTATGACATGTCATTGATGTTCCTCTTTCCTTTTTAAGCACTAATAAGAGTGGCAGAGAAGGAACATCTGCAGAAAATTAAGAGCTGCAGTGCTAGAAATGGAGCTAATACATTTAGCAAGGTCAGTTTCTACTTTAAATTCACCCCTTCACAAAAGCTATTTTGCCCTAGTACAAGTAGCAAGTATTTAGAGGAACTGTTTAGCTAACATGCTGTACGGTTTCCCCCTAACAGGGAAAAAGCAGTTTGATGATGGAGCAATTTCAATGAAGCAAATGGCATGGAAGGGAAAGAGTTAAGCTCATCCTCCACCAGTCCCACCCCCACACACCCCCACTCCCTCCTCATGGCTGTTGCTTTGGTTATATTTGTTTTCAATGGCAGGATATGCTCATTGCAAAACTGTGGTGGTGCTTTTACAGGATAATCATGAACAGAGATGTTAACTATGATTCTAGTCCTTTTGACCATTGTTACAGTATTCAGATTGGTTTTACACATCACAGTAAACCAGGGACATGCAACCTAGACCATATGAGACCCTTGATTCTCTTTTTTTGCAGCCATCAGACCCTTCTCTGATCATGATTGTTGAAAACTGATGACTCAATTACCTTCCATTTTGAAGTGGGAAACAGGTGAAAACATCAAGCTAAGTCATCACAGTTAAATATTATAAAATCCCAGAAACACCCCCAGAGCACCACCCACATATGCAATATGGCTCTACCCTCATTGCTGCTTTTCCATCTTCCCTAAACTTGTCAAGTATGTCCCTTGGCTACAAAAAAATTACCCACCCCTGTGCTGAGCCATAAAATGGCTGTTTTGAGTTTAGCTTAGTTTTGGTATATGGAGTTGTATGAATCTAGCCAACTGTGACTTATTCAATAATTAGGGCACTGTGTGAACTCAGGTTATAGAATGAGCATTCCTTGGCCTGTTACAGCTCCCACTTCACCTTTTGCATTCAGCTATCCTGATGATCAAACAGCCCCCCATTTCTCCTTGCTTCTGAGGAAGGGAGAACTGACATGACCCAGTTCCCAGACAGTATCTGAAATCATTGCTATCCTATGAATGTTCTGAGACCGCTTTTCTAACCTGTTATCTTCCAAACATATTGAACTAGAGCTCCACAAATTCTGTTTGGCTACTACATATAGGTCAGGTGCCATGTTGAAGGAAGCTGCTTTTTCAACTTGTTCTAAAAGTGATGGATAAGGAGTGGTGGCCTCATATCTCAGCTAAGGAGATCCATGGTGGAGCCAAGGTCAGACCTGGTCTTGTCCCAAAGTCCTTTGCAAAACTGCTGTAAGGCTCAGGATGGGGGAATCTAAGCATCCTTTTGCTGCGAAGGACAGGATACAAATGGCCGGGGCAGGGGTTAGTTCTGCTGGAGTCATCTGCTCCAAAAATATGGGCTCTTGCCAGAATTAAAGGTCAACATTTTAGTTCATTTATGGATTCAATAAAGCTGAACAAAGAAGGCGAAAGATGTAATTTCAAGAGTATTAGATAGCTCAGCTAAGCCAAGCTGTATTGTTTGAGGAGGCTAATATTGACACTGCCTTTTAGTTTTGAAATGCTATATTTTGCTGCTTTTGAAAACTGGTCAGCATTCCTCTTGAATGAGCAAAAACAAAGGAAAAATGTGGATTGCCTGACTTCAGATAAAAAGGAAAAAATGGTGTTTGTGTTTTGAAAATATGAGTACTGTACAGAAAAAACCCCAGTGCATTAGAAAAACCCAGGCATTGCATTTTGAGGAAAAAAGATCTTCTGTGGCATGGATTTACGCTGAGCTAAGAAGCAAGATGGAGAAATCTTAAAAGCTCCATCATCATCATATGAGGTGGGAATAAACATTTGATAATCTCTTTATTCATCTAATTCCCATCAACATGTCGCTGGGAATTTCCCCCTGCTGTCCAGTGGAAGATTTCCTTTAACTTGTGCTTGCACTGCCAGCATTCAGCTGCTTCCAAGGTTTTTTGGTTTGTTGGAGTATAAAAGCAATTCTCAAATAGTTTTAACTATAAGTTACGTATGTGTCACAGTGTGACTGTGGGTTCTTTTACAACTCTTTGTGTCATTAACTAGGACAATTGCTTCACAGAGACAGAGATGGGAGAGGCTTTTGGGGGGGGGGGTTCCTTTACTATAGACAGCTGTATTTCCAGAACTATGTACAGCAGTGTTCAAGCGTTCCAGTTTCTGTCTTTCTCTACCTCTCCCCCAGAGCTCTTTGCTAGCAACCACTCATTCCTGGCTAGCAAAGCTACCACCTCCCCCCTTTCTCCTCCTCCCTCCCTCTCAGCTTTTCACAAAGAGAGAGAAGAGATAAGAGGGGAATCAGCTAAGTCACTTTGGTGTGGGCTTCAAGCCTTTTGCACCTGTCCCTTTGTGAGGTTCTTGTGTGAGGCACCTCCCTCTGGGACTTCCCTGAAGGCTCCAGGTGTCCAATGGCAGGCAGCCCCCTTCCTCCATCCCCGTCTGCCTTGGGTTTGGGGTGAAGCATGTCTGGGTCTTTGCTTCCCTTCTCAGGGAAGCCTCCAGCTGTCATCTTCACCCTCTTTTCCCTCTGGGGCCAGGAACCGCCACCCGCCACCACACTCCAGTGGCCCAGCATCGACCCAGCAATCTCTCTCTCCAGCCACCAACTTCCCACAAGGTCTCCCCAAAGGCACTTTTTGCCTGGGTAACTCAAAGCAGCACAGACTCAACATGTCTCTCCATTTTTCTTCTCCCACTCTCTCCTTTGTGGCTCAAACCAGCAGCATGTCCTCCAGCAACTGAGGAGGTGGGTGTCCCCCCAGGGCTCTAGTCCCCGACACCTATGTTCAAGGCTGGACCAATGGGTCTGGTATCCCCCTCTGCCCCACAGCAGCCCTGGCTAGCAGCCAGGTCAGCTCATTAGCCCTCGTGACAGTACACCTGCACATCAAGGCTAGACTTGAGCTTCCTCTCCCCATGTTTTCTTCTCTCCGTCTGCTGACCCACACCACCAGAACAGCAGCCTGCCTGGCCACAAAACCCATAGGCCACAGTATTCAGCAGGTAAAAGACAGCACTGAATTCACAAATCACACAGAGGAATATCTCCAAAAGTGATCAACACTGCATTTTAATACTATAAATAGACCAGAATTTGATTGGAGGGAGAGACAACAGCAAATTGCATATGGTTTGCATACATGTACATATACATATTTAGATAAACACATACATACATGTACCTACATAAACGCGGTAGTATAAGGACATTAAGGGGCAAGAGACAGGGTTCACAAAAATTATAAATAGTATTCACTGAGCCAAAGGATCTCAACCCATACTAAGGCCACAAAGAGAACAAGCCACTTGGAATTTCCTTTGTTCCATAGAAAGGAATGGAAGTCCACTTCTTTGCATCTCATGTCCTTTCAAACAGCACAAGAGAGGAAGTGTTGCTATAAGGGTGCATCCAAGAACCGGTCAAGAGGTTTGGCTGAAGGACTGCATGGTAAGAAAGAAGACACAGAGACTGGCTGGGTGCAGCTATTTCCTCTACCCCTTGACCAAAGCAGGCTGTAGCGGTTCCTGTTTCAAGGACAGGTGCAATGAAAACCGTATAGTCCTCCTCTAGACTCTCTTATACTTTCCAGACTGATCACATCACTTGCTTTTCCCAACTTTCAGCTGATATGACAGTGCATTTTAAGGCTTTGAGACATCAGAGTGCAATTTGCGAAGTGACATAGAGGGACGCAGCGTTACAAGTCAGAGAGGGTTAGACTCAAAACTTCAGCAGAGTCAGGAAGTTGATTAGGTTTGCTTTTAATCTCCCAGGGAATAAAATGGGGGAAACCCAGATACGTTTCTTGAAGGAAAAGCAAGATCTGGCCAACAAAGAAAACTAATGAAAATTTCTGCAAAGCTCTACATATTCATTCCTGTGAATGTTCCATAAGAACATTAAAAAGAGTGCTCAATGAATCCAAAGGGTCTAATCCAAGGATGGGCAACCTTTTTTTAGCCTGGGAATCACACTGTAATGTTTTCCCTTGACTGGGGACCACAGGAAATTTTGTCAATGATGTTGTAACATCGCCAGAGTCTATGGTGGATTTTTTTTCATGATTTGGGGGAGTTGGCAAGTTAAGGAGGAAAGCCTTACAGCATCCATTTTGCCCCTTAAAGCTTTCTCCAAAATGAGGACATTGGCTGGATTCTAGTGTGATCATAGTTTCAAAGGATGCAAGGGGTTCTTTAAACCTCTGCATTTGCCCCATAACCTCCCAACAGCCAACCCCCACCCCCCAAAAAAGGTAAAAAGTTGTCTCTGCCAATGCTGCAAAATTCTGCCCATCATCCAAGCGGGGTGGAGGGGGTGACAAAATCTGCAAGATTGCAGGCAGAATGTCACAATCCCCACCATTTTGTATGTGCATACAACAATGGATTGCGATACTGCACCTGCCATCTTGCAGATTTTGACCCACACCCCCTCCACCGATGCTGCTGCTTCATCCTTGCTTTCTGTGGTGGCTAAGCCAACAAGCCAACAAGCAAAACGGACAAGAAGGCGCCACTTGTTTCCACCAGGCCCAGCTAAACAGGCTGCTTTGTCCAGTGGACAAAGTGAAATGAGCATCTCACATAAACTAGGAGTGTGAAGCGGTGGCTCTGATCCCATCTTTCTCTAATTAGAGTGGTTATAAAACTTTCTTTAATAAGTTTTCCATTCAGAGGGCAATGATTGAGATCAGTTCCAGTAAGCCGCTTTTCATGACATTCCAGTTACACAAGAGGGGGGAAAGAGCTTGACCTACTTTGGGGTCACCACAAAAAGTGTCTGTTTGCAGAACCCAGCGCTGCTGTGCTCGCAACTCCCATGTGCACCTTTCTCAATCGCTCATCTGCTGAGGATTTTGTGATGAAGGAAGCCAGTGCCCAAAGCAGGAATTAGATACTTATGTCAGAAGTGGGCAACCTTTGCTGGCTAATATTGCATTTAATACTGTGATGGGGCTTAGGAGCAAAAAGCAAGTGCGGTTATATCATGTGAGGGAATTGGGGACGGGGGCGGGTTTAACAGTGATAAGCCTATTTAAGGGCTTGTATGGGAGTTTTCATGTATCCTGCATCAAATCGCAGGAGACTCTGTCTTCATGTTTAGCAGTCAGGGCCGGGGAGCTCTGAGTCATAAACAGGAATCAGGTGCCAGAGCAATCCTGCAACTATAGGTTGCCCATCCTGGGTTTAGGTATATGCCCAAAGTTGAGGTGTGGACATGAAATCATGCCTGCTTCCCTAGAAGGCAGCATGTGTTAGAAAGGCATCATTGGCTGGAGCTTCTGCATGCTGTAAACCCTCTTGCAAAACTGGGTATGCTGCCATGCATCCAACAGAAAGCCCATTAAGAATTGCATGTTGAAATCAGCTCCAGGAGCATTTGAGCTAACACAGCAAAGAAATACTTGTGAACTAAGCAATTGAGTGTGGCATCCCAAAAACCCAAAGGGAGGTTGAACAAAACATCTGGAGCTCTGTGCCGCGCGCAGCTCCTTATCTCCTACCATGACTGAGCAAACTGCATTATGCAAGTTGTCTCAGAACATGGAATTCTGGATGGTGTTTTGGTAAGCCTGAATTCAGCTGAGGATTTTGGCACCTTTATGGCCAGAACTGAGATGAGGTGGATCCTTCAAAGTCCTTCACACAAACAACTGGAACCCACTGGAGCTACACAGACTGTCTGTTTCATGATCTAAGTCTTTGCTTTCCCCTCCCAATGATGAGAACTTGCCAAGGGCCACAGAAGAGAGCAGTTGCTAACTCTGCCAAGGAAACAGAGTCTATAATATTACCCATTTATGAAAGGAGAGAGTCAGAAAGACAAAGCTCTGGGTTTTTCCAGAGAGCCTTGTGTTCCCCTCGACATATTTTTAGCTTGCAAAATCACTTGTGAACAGCATGAACAACAAATAGAACTGAAGATAATTAAGGAATTGGCTGCTAAATACAGGCTCTTAATATTCCATATTTTTCTGAAAACTGACTCTGTTCAAAATGTTTGTCAATGTCACGGCAAAGAGGCAGAAATCCCAGGCTGGAGGTGGACTGAAATTGGCACCAAGCCACTGTAAACAATGTGGGGCTAACATCCAAGAAGTGATTAAGATCGCTCTTACTTGAATGAAAGCCTTGGAAATAGGCCAGTACAGAATGCAAACCATGTAGTGTCCAGAGTATAGTCACAAACCATGTTGGGTAGAAATAATGTGGTAAAAAGAGCACTACAATTTACTACAGACAACATCTAAATCAGCTTCAGATAGGATTTGAGCATTGCGTTTTTCCCTAACAAAATTTAATCAGTCCTGGACTCTTGAAGACAGTCCAGCCTCCCGCAATTTATACCCTCCAAATGTGTTGAAACTACAACTCCCAGAATGCCTAGCAAGACTGGAAATGAAGACCCAGTTTATACAGTACGGGAGGGCTGGGTTTGCACCTAATTCCTCTGCTCCCTTCCCTTCAAAAGGGATTCCATTTTGTACCTTGTTCCATTAGTGAAATAAACCCCAGGCAAAACATGACTTATTCTTTGTCTCTTCAGTGCCACAGCTTTTGCCAAGTCTCTTGTTTAAGCTACTCCTTTGCAGGAAAAGTAGTTGCAACCCAGTTTCCTGGATTATGGTGAGATTAAAGTGCATATCTCCAGATTTCAGATCCTTGGTCTTTTAGGAAAAAAAATCCTATTATGTCAAGGGTAATGGCCCTATAATGAACACAAATAATCCAACCCACCCCAAAAGAAGGGTTCCAGATATTCCTTCCTTTTCTGAAAGGCCCATAATTTCCATTTCCTGGGATCTGAGAGGCATCTGAGCAAAGGGCAGGTAAAACCCATCCACCTGAGGGAAGGGGGCCCAAACTCATTTGCAAGATGTAAGAGAGATTGAGAAAGTGGAGAATTGGGTTAGCTGCAACTGAGGTACAAAGGGGAGGGTTGGGGGACTGGTTGTACAAGTTGCTCTGAAACAAGGAGTAGTGATGGATAATTCCCCCCTGATTTCGGGTGGGTGGGGGAAGTATGGCTCAATCATTCTCTAAAAAGAGATGATCATATGAGAAGGACATGGCATCCTTTAACATCTAGAATATAAAAAAATCTCCAACTCCCTTGTCCGTCTTTCATGACCTTGAAAAAGGAAGGAGAAATTTTGTGGACATTAGGGCACAAGGTTTCTCGGTCTCAGTGGCGATATGTCCTTAAACCCACTTCAGATGACCTTGACAAGAACAACCCTACTAAGCTCACACAAAACACATAGCCACTGCATGACATTTGCCTTAAAACAGTCACGTAACATAGACTGAGAAAGTATTTCCAGGACTTTTATAGTCCACTGACACAAGGAATCATTTGAGCAAATAAAGTACATGTTGCACTTACCATCGACACACCAAAAACCCAGAAATGTTAAAGTGACTGTTACTTTTGCAAAAAGAGAAAGACCAAGACAAACAGCAAAAGAATCGACAGCAATGCTAGAGAAGACAGTCCAGGAAAGAAAACTGGTTTTAGCTACGAATGAGTGACAAAAATTCTTCACGTGTCTTTGGGTCTTCTCGGAATACTCCAAGCATCGTGCTGGTTACAGTCTTACTGTTCATTTTCTGAACCCCTCGCATCACCATGCACATGTGCCTGCAGGAAAGAAGAGAAATCCAGTGAAAATCTTTTTGCTGAAAGAAAATAGCGTGTCTTAATTTCAGTTCTCTCTCTCGCCCTCCCCCCCTCATTTCCCTCTAAATACAAGAATGGAACTTGGAATACAGCCACCTTACTTAGCTGATGTTGTTCTTCAAGCATTGTGCCCTTTACTTCTCATTTGTTTTAAGTTAAAAAGTCAAAATTTGTTTTAAGTTAAGAAAAAGTGTGAACTGTAAGAAGAATTCCTATCCACCACATCTGGCCAGTAGTACAAGTGTTGTCTGTCCCCAAGCCCTGGAACTCCCTCACCTTTTGGACACATCACAAAGCTTCTGTCAACTTACGTTGCCTCAATCACCACCCCAACTCCGGCAGGCTGCAAGGCTTCTGTGATGGCAACAGCAATTTGTTTTGTAAGGCGCTCCTGAACTGCAGTGAGAAGAGGCAGAAGGGAAATGAACATCCATCCTCTTATCCAAATTTCAGGTGAGAGTTTCTTAAAGCTAGATCTCATTAAAAATCTTGAGTTTCAATCATATCTTCATGGGCCATGAAGTCTACTGATGAAGAAAGGGCTGGAAGCCTCCATAATAGAGGTAGATAGAAGGAAGTCTATCAAAGTCCAGAGAAGAAACGTATCTTTCCCATGCACTCCACTTTGCCATTTTGACTTTTTGACCCCTCATAAGTGTCTACAGGATCCAGTACTTTTGTCAAGATGACAAACGCTGCACTGCATTGTCATAATGCAAGCTTTTGTACGTGCCTGAGACTTCATGACGGACATATAAAAGAGGCAGGCTTATGTTACATTGGTGAAATGTTACATTTGTTGTATGCCCTTCCTTGCTGCTGTGACACACACACACACACACACACCATTGCCTCTGTTTATCTACTTCGCTGTAGAATGTAGGTTCTAAAAGAGAACCTATGTCCCTTGGGTCAAAAAGGCAAGAAAAGTGACAAACTGGATTTTTGCCCTACACAGACTATCATATGCTTCTGCATATAATGTACATTTGCAAATCCCTCCAAGTAGAAAGCTAGCATATCCAGAAGCTAGGCTGGAATGCTTCTCCCTGATGAACATGCTGATATTCTGTCACTGTTTTTATTCTGCTTGTTATTGTTCATCGCCCAGAGTCACTTGTTGAGATGGGCGGCTTTATAAATTGAATGAAGGAATGAAGGAATAAATACATATTCTAGGAGCAGGGAACTTCCTATATAGTGGGATATAATAAATTGTTTACAGCACATTCATGCCTTTTATTTTTATTGCTACAGCTGGTTAATAGATCTTTAATGCTGTATGCCAAATTCTATTAGTATGGCAAAATATACATTTCATTAGGGGAAGCACAAAAGGTGGTTACTTGCCTTGTAATCGTCTACTGTATATTTCCACAATCCTAGAAGGGGGAAAAAAAACCCAATGCACTCTGTTAATATTACTTTGGGAGCAGAGATCTGGAAAATGAAGATAGAATTTGCACTTACAAGTACACAGACTGACATGATAAACTGATTGCATTCATCCTTTTACTGTTTTCCTCCATGATTTTGCCACTGTTCATTCTTGTACCGTTGCACACTGTTGGGCTCTGGGATTAGGGAAGGTTACAAATATGGCCATGTAAATAAACAAATAATGGCGTGTGCACTTGCCCCAAAGACTTCTAGGCTCAGGAACGTAATCCACAAGTAGTCTTCAGGCAGGATATTTGGGTGATGTTTTAAGTCATCCATCTCCTTTGCAACTGCCCAGCCTCTCTTTCCCCAGAGGCCAAAGGGTCTGGGAGCAAGGGGCAGACGGGTTGGGGGACAGCCATCTGTCCTCAGCATCTCCCCTGGGGAGACCCCTGCATTGGGGAGGCAAAGTCCTCATGAAAGTCAGGGACCTTCTGCCACACAGCACCCCCTCCCCTCCACCTTCTCTGATTCTCATACGCTAAGCTGCCCCAAGCAGCTATTTCCTAGTGCCGTCTTTTTGTCAGCTGGGCCAGGGTGAATGCATAAATGAGGCTGGCCCATATCTGCAAAACAGAATCAGTGGATGCTGGGAATTCCCATTCCTCCAGCCCATCAAGCTTCCCCATCAAATACACTTGCTGCCGTTTCTTATTTCAAGGACCTGACCTCTTTGTCTGTAAAACACCTGGCCATCCTTGGCTGATCTTGAAAAAAAGCTAAACCAAGTCAGACCTGGTTAGTACTTGGATGGGAGACCACTTGGAAACCCCACAACAGTAGGTGCATCTGAAAAACATCCCAAAGGGAGCCAATGGCTTTCCACCTCCATACTGTTGCTAAGAATGTCCATGAAGTCATCCTGGGCAATCTCAATCTGAGCTTGTAATATGACTAGGACAACGTATTTAAATACAGGGATGTAATCCTCCACTTTCCCAACATCCTCTTTCATCACTGCATTTGCAGGGTTTAGCAACACAGAGTGAGACATAACCCCCCTGCCCTGCTTTATTACTGTGTTCAAGTTCTGACACATAGATGTCGTGGCTCTATGCTGTAGTTTTGAAATGTGCTTCTTATGAATCTCTTCCGCATTCGGCCTCTTTGATCTGCCAGAATCCGGCCTGCACCTGTCAGGCGGCAATCAGGCCTCCACACAGAGAGATACTGGGACTATCCAACAAGCAGGCAGATACGCTGTTGAAATTTAAATGCTTTTCAGTGTTACAGTTTAGGCAAATGGAACAAGCCATGTGTCATTGTTTTATGCTAATTTCCCCACTTTTCTCATGGCTTGCAACTGCACTATCATTGTTGTGAGAAAATTTAGCCCAAGGGATCTAATAGTAAAGCATCCTGAGATATAATGACAGAACAGGACAGGCAAGTCTCAACATGGGATGTGAAGCTCCCAAACATAAGCTCTTCTAAGCCCTAATTCTTTTAAGAGAAGAATTAAGGTCATCTTCAGTCTTTGCCTGTGAAATACAGTATATGCAGTTGGCCTTCTTGATCTGGGAGATTATGCTTGGCAAACAGCCACAGTAAGAAATGCTCCTCAGGAGTTAGCCAAGTTTGCTTCTGGAGCAATCTCTTCTAGCTTGCTTGCCAATCTAGCAAAACAGGCTCCCAAGACCCAGTTCCTAACAAACTTTGGGTCTGGGGAGAAAACTGTTTTGTTCTAGGTTGACTCCTTTTCAACCAACTGGTTGCAAACAGGCTTCAGTTGCTCAGTGGTAAGAACTACTCAGAATAATCCTGCCCTGTCTTCTACACGACGGCCCTTCGGATGCTAGGAAGATAGCTATCATGGCTCCTCTCAGTCTTCCCTTCTCTGTGCTAAACATACCCAGTGCTTCCAATCATTCCCGTAGGTTTTTCTTATCATCTTGGTTGCTGTCCTCTGGACACACCCCAATTCATCAACATCCTTTCTAAAATGCAGTGTGCAGAACTGGATGCAGTATTCTAGATGCAGGCTTACCAAGGTAGAATAGAGAACAATAACTTCTCTTGATCTTGATGCTGTACTTGTGTTGACATAGCCTAGCTTTGCTTCTGCTTCTTTTGCAGCTGTGTCATACTATCAGCTCATACTTATGATCCACAAAGACCCCCAGATCATTTTCACACGCACTGCAGCCCAATGTAGTTCCCACTGTCCTATTCTATGCCCTGGGTCACTAAAGCATTTCACTTTTGTCCCTGTTGAAATATATCTGGATCTCAATACAGATGTGCAGTGTCACTTTCTGCTCTATTCCTTTCAAATAACTTACATTCTTCAACTCTTGTATTTCACTCCTGAGTTTCATCTCACTAAGGAAAAGCACATTCTTCCAAAAAACTGCTGGATGCATGAACATGAATAACATGTAATGAAATACCAAGAGTGACAAAATCTGGGTGGCCATCTGTCCAACTTTCTGCAAGATAGTCCTCAAATCGAAGGATGTTCAGTCCAAATCCAATTTAAAGTTAACAAAATTGCTTGTCGATAGGTCATGACCCCTGGACTGCAGACTGAGCACCAGGCGCAAGATTATTTGAACATTGTTTTCCTCAGTTTGGTGAGATGGATTGCTATTCAAATCACAGTAATAATTTCTAAATGCAAATTGTATGCAGATCTGCATCGTCTTGGTTTTAGAGATGAAGTTTCTACTTTTTGGGTAACAGAATAAGTACAAACCTTCTTTATACACAAAGTACCAGCCTCCTCCACTGATATAAGATAAGAAGCAGCATATCACAGAGATTCAACATCCTTTACCACTTAACTTCAGCAATTTATTGATTCATAAGAGAGGGAAAGAAAATGATGCTTGCCATGATTCACAGACAGAAAGAAAATCATCAGATGTGAATGACAAATCAACATTAAAGTCCTTACTGCGCTTCTACAATTTAGAGATAATTGTGGGCCACCCGAGCAATACTAATCCATTGATTTGCCCTGCCAATGCCATCCAAAACAATAGGCTGATAACACACTTCAAATAAATCCCACCAGATGAAAAACAACACAAGATGGATGAGGCACCAGATAATATTTTCAACATTTGCTCACGCCAGCAGATAAAAGCTGCCAATTATTACACAAGAAGCCCTCACAGTAGTCAATAGATGTGAGGTAAGTGAATCACAAATGTCAAAGTGCCAGAAGGTTTCCACTGATGTAAGAAGCAACAGAGAGGTGAAAATGTCAAGATCCACAAAAGGTGGAACACCAAAAGGTATAAGACTGGGTCAGTCCAAAGGCCAATATAGTCCAGGTTCATCTTAACAATATGGTCAACAACCATTCAGCAAGTGTGCTATGTAGGTTATTCATTCTGGTTGTTAAACTGTCACATGCATTCCAGATAAGTCCCAAAGTCACACTACTTTCAACTCTGGAAAAGTTGACTTCCCCAGGCAGAGAAGGAATGAAAGCCTGGAGAGTCTGCCGGTTCTTCGGCTTCTTTCTACAACTGAAAATAACTTTTCCAGAGTCTCTGGATTGGGATGGGATTGTAAGAATTCCAGAAACTGAACTATTTCCCACCTAAAATACAATGTATTCAAAAATACACTGGGGTGGTGCCTTCTCTATCCTCTCCTTCAGCTCTTCTGTGAACCAGTGAAACGGCAGGTCTCTTCACAGATAACACAGGCAACTGCAGCCAGGTGTTTACAAAACCATCTCCTAAACCAGTGTTGTCCAAACTTGGCCACTTTAAGATGAGTGGACTTCACCTCCCAGAATTCCCCAGCCAGCCATGGGAGTTGAAGTCC